TTTTAATTTTTTTTTTTTTAGTTTTTTTTTTTTCCCTGTCTATGATAATTCTCTAAGGTTGAGTGTTGGCAGCAGAAGAGGCTGCTTCAAAGCCCTCTAGTTTCCCACATCTTAACACTCAGCTAAACGTTGGAGGCTGGTCTGAGTCCCCATCTGCTAGGCAGCCTGTTGTGTGAAAATGAGATCTATACATATGCAGGGATCCACTGGCAGCCTTCCAAGATCTGAAGGATCATTATGAAGAAATCGCAAGTGGTGGCTGGTGAGCAGGGGAAGGGGGAAGGGACATGAGGAGGGGGCAAAAGGAAGCTGGTCTTCACATACAAGCTGGCCTTGTCTTCAAGACCTGGGCTGTGAGAAAGGAGAGTTTGCTTGGAATGGCAAACATGTCCCAGGTTCTGGGTGAGAATAGGCCTGGGCCTGTCTGGCATCCTTAACCTGGGGAGATGCCTGGGGGTGAGGGCAGGGGTGCACTGAATGGTGGGGGTAGGAATGGGGATGGGGATAGGGGTGCACTGTGTGGTGGGGGTGGGATGGGAATGGGTTGAGGGATGTAGTGTGTGGTAGGGTTTGGGGCAAGCATGCATTGTGTGGTGGGGTTGGGTAAGGTACAGTGTGTGTTGAGAGACTGGCGGGAATGCATTTTGTGGTGGGGCTGGGGGATGTGCTGTGTGGTAAAGGTAGGGATGGGAATGGAGATGGGGGTACAGTGTATGGTGGGGGGTGGGGTACACTGTGGTAAGGGTGAGGTTGGGGTACATTGTATGTTGGGAGTAGTTAGGTGTATAGGATGAATTGTATGGTGGGGGTGTGTTAAAGGTGGGGTGGGGTGTGTTGTGTGGTGGGAGTGGGGGTGTAAGGTACATCTTGTGGTGGGAATGAGTTGTGAGTACATGGTACAGAGGGAGTGGAGGTGTAGGGTTAGTTATGTGGTAGGGGTGGGATGCATTGTGTGGTGGGGTAGAGATGCAGGGGGCATTGTGCAGAAGGGGGGTGCAGAGTGCATTATGCAGAGGGAGTGGAGGTGTAGGGTGCATCGTGTGGAGGAGTGGAGATGTGGAGTTTGTTGCACATTGCGGGTGGGGTGAGGCTAGACAGACCAGCATGGTCCAAAGGCTCAGCTGTTTTGGGTGCCGGAGCTATATGAATGGAGGGAGGGACTCGCTGAGCTTCAGTTTTTATAATTTTCCCTGGTCTTCAGCTTTCTACTCTATAAAGCAAGGCAAAGGTGGGACTGGGTTGCAAACTCAGATCTACAAGACCTGGAGAGGTGAGTCTAAGATGAGTGAGGCTGGCTGGGTGGGGGCCAGCACATGCATCCTGGACAAGAGTGTGGTAAGCACCTTGCCACACAGTCACCCAAGTGACTGTGGCCATGGAAAGCCCAGGTAGTCCAGTCAAATTCCCCAGGTTTTCAGTTAAAGCCCAGGTTTATAGGTTTTTGTTTATTAAAGTTGAAAATGCCTAATGTTTCCATACTGGCAACTGCTGAAATGATTGGAAATGATTCTGGCCAAGTAAGAGTCATCTGTAGTCACAGAAGGTTCTCTGGGCTTCCGGCTGGTGCCCTCCATGGAGGAACTGTGTGAGACACTTTGGGGAAGGCTGGGGACCAGGACCACCATGTCTTGCCTTGATAAGATCTAAAGAGACCCAGTCCAGGCTGAGCAAGTTGTTCCTACCCTGCAAGGCACAGGTTCTGGCTGACATGTCAGTCCCCAGCACTGACACCTCCAGGCTCCAAGCACAGGCATGGCGGGGCCTTCCCTAAGGTGCATCCGTCACGGTAGCTGAGCCCACAGGTGTGAGGTTCCAGGTCCCGGGTAACTCAGCATTTCCACGCCATGCTCTTCATATCTTTTTCAAAAGTCATTCCTGGAAGACAAAAGTCTGTGCTGCTGTCTGTGTACATGTGATCATGTCACATACACATGCTCAGGTATCATAATGGCCTCACCTTACACGTGTACATGCCTATGGTGCATCCTCTGGGTCCCTCAGTTTGTTCCCCTTCTGGCTACTCATCAGCACTGTCACAAATTAGCAAGCTGGCCCATACAAGGTGACAAGCTGTGGACCCATCTCTGGTTCAGTGTTGTCCAGCTGGAGCCACAACCACCAGTTCTCTCTGTCTTGGCAGCCAGAGAACTTTTGTTCAGTTTTCTCTGCCTTTTTGCTGGGCTGTGGTTTCTCTCTATCTGGGTGTGAAGAAGTCCTTGGTTCATTTGGAATTCTCAGTGAAGAAACACAATGGAGATTTTGTGCAGTAGTAAAACCTTCCCATTTGCATTTCTAGTCCTGCCTCCAAAACAATATGTCCCCTTTGATGAATGGATATCATTTTTGTGGTATGAAATCACTATACTATGTGTCCATATTTATTTTTTAGTCTTTTTGAAACAGGGTCTCCCTGTAGTCCCAGCTGACCTGAACTTTCTATGTAGACCAGGCTGGCCTTGAACTCACAGAGATCTGCCTGCCTCTGCCTCCCAAGTGCTGGGACTAAAGGCATGCACCACCACGCTCAGCTTGTGTCCATACTTTTTTAAACACTAAAAAAATTATGGGTGTCCGTGTGTGGTTTGTGCATGTGAGTACAAGTGCCTGTGGAGGCCAGAAGAGCGTCTCAGATGCCCTAGAGCTGGAGTTGCAGGCAATTGTGAGCCGTCTAATGTGGGTGCTAGGAACTGAACTTGGGTCCTCTGCAGGAGCAGCAAAGGAGTGCTCTTAACCACTGAGCCATCTCTCCAGCCTCTGTTCTGTGGTTAAGAATAAATCTCTATTAAATATTGGGGTGATGGTAAAACAACCACAGAGGCAGAAGCCTTGGCAAAGCCCAGGCTGCCATCGTGCCATGATGTCAGACACTCCCTCTGAGTCTTGCTGGCCTCAGGAATGGTAAGAACTCACAACCAAAAGTTTCTAGGGAAGAAAACTCTGTCCCCAAACCCAAGTAAGTACAGAAAGCACACAGAAACCAAGTCAGCTTCCAAAAACAGGAAGGGATTATAGGCTTCTAGCAGCAATTAGCTGGGTACTGAGTCACAAAGCCTAGCCCAACATTCATAGTACCCTGTCCCCTGTGGCTATGGAGGCCACTTGGCCACATTACCCAAAGCCTTCTGGGCTGGCTTCCACAGAGTTCTTCTACCCTATCACCTTCTAGAGCACTGAGCCAACTTTCCTCTTGTGAGGATGGAATGGTCCCCTGATAGAACTGGGAAACTGAGGCCCAGCAAATTGGGGTCTCTGGGTAAGGGTGGGTTGATGGAAAAGCTTCCCTCCTGACAAGCAGGCCCTCTGAGGGGCCTGAAAGACCTTTCCTGGACTGGCCAGGTTGGGTGAAGGGTGTCTCTGAGGAGACGCAGAGGTAGTTAAAGAAAATAATCAACTGATTTGTTCAGTCAGCCAAGGCCTATAGCACGTTCTAGAACTGAGGTAATATCAGCTACGATCTATGAGAGATAAAGTAAAGAGAAGCCTATTACATCACATCCTTTTCTTTTCTGTGACTTACAAAGGTGACACCCCACTGTACTCCAACCCACATGAGGATGCTTGCTGTTAATACTTGTTGGGGTCTGCCCAGGCACACCCATGCCTGTCTGGGCCCAGGATACCGCAGCATGATGGGCAGGTCTGGAGGAAACCTGAGCTCTTCAAAGTGGACAGACCTTCAGGGCAAATAAAAAGGAAGGTAACTAAAAAATGTACACACACACACACACACACACACACACACGCACACACACACACACACACACACACACACACGGTGAGGAAACCACATCCAGTCTGGTCTGGCCCAACACTGAAGAAGCAATGCTGAAGGGTGACTACCCCACCCAGTAAATCAAGATGTGGGATTGAAACCACTTCCTCCGCCAGCTTCAGGTCAAGAGCAGCCTGTATCTGCTCTTGGGGAGTACACACAGCCTCATGAGGGAGGAGTCCCTGCTGCCATGACACTGATGCAAAAACCCAAGCAGATGCCAGGTCAGGTGCCCCTAGACACAGCTAGATAGAGACATGGCCAGGATGAAAATGCAGATCTGTTCACTTTGTGGAACAGGCCCGCAGGGCCCCACCCTCTACGGTTCCAGAGACTCAGAGCTCTAAATGCTCTGGTCAGTTCAGACTGCTGTCCAAAGCTGAACCACTGTCCATTTCCTGAGTTTTCCTCAGCACCATCAATTCCTCCTGAGGTTCGGGACAATCTCCACCCATTTCCTGGGCTCCAGGGACCTTTCATCTAGTCAGGTACTCCACCCCAGGGGCAGAGGGTATCTGAAGAGGCCCAGGACTGGAAAAGGTGCTTTACCCAGACACAAACCTGATGGCCTAATTTCGGTCCCTGGAACCCACTTGAAGGTAAAAGGAAAGAACCAGATCCACAAAGCTGTTCTCTGACTTCTGCAATGCGTTGCAGCATGTATACATATACACACACAAATAATAAATAATAATAAAATAACTTAAAGAAATTTTTTAAATTATTTTTATTTTATATGTATGAGTGTATTGCCTGCATGTATGTAAGTGCACCCGTGTCCTGCAATGCCCACAGAGGTCAGAAGAAGGCATTGGATTCCACTGGAACTGGAGTTACGGATGGTTGTTAGCCACCATGTGGGTGCTGGGAATCAAACCCAGGTCCTCTGCAAGAGCAGTCAGTGCTCTTAACCGCTGAGCCATCTCTCCAGCCCCCAACTTTTTTTTTTAAAGGTCCAGGCCTGCACCACACTGCAAACTCTTTGGTGATGGCCAATAGAATTCTTTGTACCACTCTCTACCACTGAAACCACTCCCCTCCACTTCCTACTCATCCTTTCTCCCAGATGAGAAGGCAGGAAGCTTAGAGCCTCAGGTCAGGGCTCTTTAGGCACTGAAACCACTGGCTCCCCTTCCATCTGATGCCCTCTCTCCTCTTGATATCAAGCAACAGCAATCAACAGCCTCTCTTCACCATGGGAGGCATCTGACATCTCAAGGCAGTATTCTGCAATTCAGACAACACTGAGCATATTCCGATGAGCTGGCACCTGCCTATTGTACTAGGATCCAACCTACAGACACCCAAGAAGAGACAATTGGGCCCCCTAAACTGGAGACACCCCTGCAGCAGTTTCCAGTCACAGATGTGACCCTAATCTCTGTATGGGCTTAGGTCAGTCATTTATGTCCCTCTGCACGCAGGGTCTCATCTGTAAGATAAGAGAGGCTAGAACAGACTGGGCAATGACTTGAGACACCAAAAACCAACATCATGAAAGTCATGAACAAAGTCAGGTTTCCCCAGTTCCTGGTTTGGTGTGTTCTTCCTACCCCAGAGAGAAGGGGCATCCCAAGTCCAAGATGGGGAGGTGCAATCCCCACATCCAAGTTGACAAGGTAAGAGTGATAAGCCACAGTTTGATAGGTTACTAGAGAGAAACAGAGCATGTGGTAGGAAGCAGTCCTGAAAGGAAGGAGCTCCAGTCAGAGACAGAAAATCAGAATTCAAATCCTAGTCAGTCGTCCTCGATTTGCTGTGTAACCTCCCAGGACCTCGGTGTCTTCCATTGCCAGATGTAAGCCATTCACACAGCCCACCCTCTGCCTAATTCACAGAACCAGCAGAAAGCCTGAGATTGGGCTAGGAAAATGGTCTGGGGGCTGGTCGCTTTTAGTAAAGCCACCCACAATGCTGGTAGGCGAACAGCAGCATTGTACAAGTACAAATGAGGTGCAAAGAAGGGGGGACCACATGTTAAGCTAAAGCCCAGCTTGGAAGACCCTCATCCTAAGAACAGGAGGGCACAAAGGCTCCTGTGGTAATGCTGAGTGTGGACTGAGGTTCCAGTCTACAAGCCAGCCATGGGCACTTTGTGTAGTGTTCCAGCTCAGACTTCTGCATCCTAGGAATAAGGGAAACTCATCTACCAGTACAGGTTTAGAAGAATCAAGTGTGCAGCACATAGTAGGGGCTCAGCTGCTGACGGCAGAGATAAAACTGACTCAGGAATTCAGAGCCTCCTTTGTTTTTATAGCAGCCTTGAAGGATAGAGATCCTGAAACTGGCTCAGAAATGCATTTCTCTCTGTATCTGTCTCTGTCTCTGTCACACACAGACACACACACACACACACACACACACACACACAATTAAAGGAAGAGAAACTACAGTCAGCCTGGGATATTCCCAAGCGTAGGAAAACCTCACGTGCAACAAGCACTTCACATAACACAGCCAGCCTGGGAATGTAGACAGAGCTGAACCCAGCCTCCTGGTCCAGCTGCATCAGAGGCTGGGGATGCTCTGGCCTTACGGCAGTGATGCCCAGACATTCTGCTGGCTCCCTGGGCTCCTAATGGCTGGCCCCTTCTCAGGCACTCAGATTGCCCAGGGAGGGGTACAGGAGATGGAAGTAAACAACAAAGGTCCCTGGGTGGGGTGGACACCCACACCCCAGAAAGGCCTCACCCTGCAATGGCTGGAAGATGACAGGCAAACCAACTCCTCTCTCTGGGCCTCAGCTTTATCGCAGGAAACGAGGTGCCTGTATTACGAGAGGCTCTCAAAGCTGCTCCAGAAATGTTGAGTCTCTCTGATCTGGCTTAGCTGCCGACTTCTTCTTGGGCTTCGATTCTTTTCGGGAAAGCAGTTACTGACAGTGGGCTGGTCAACCTGCTGGGCCAGGAGGAGAAGCTCTTTCCCTGCTTTCTACGGTCACTTCAGAGGCTCTCAGGGCTTCATGATAGGAGATGTGTTGAAACAGAAGATGTTCAAGACTACAAGATGACTCTCAGTGTAGAGTCTGTCTATCCTTTTGAGCCAAGAAGGTCCAAGAAAGGAAGATGCCTGCGGAAGATATGAGTGGGAACTTCCCTTAATTCCAAAGGTAAAGGCACTGAGCAAGAACCAAACACATGACTACACAGTATCAGGGAGAGGGGCAGAAGGATGGGAGCCAGAAAGACAAGCCAGGGACCCAGGATGAAAGATGCCGAATGCCAGCTAAGGAGGTCACACCTTGACCTGTGGACCTCAGAAGCCAGCAAAGGTTTTCTGATCTGCAGTTAGACAATTCATTTTGGCAGCAGTGCTAACTCTCTTATACCAAACCACAGCCCATGGGAAAAGCCTATCCCATGCTTATGATTGAAAATTTTTTTTAGATATAGTCTTAATGAGATATAATTCACGCATATAATCCATCCATTAGAAGTGTACAAGTCAGAATGGGGAGATGGCTCAGTTGGTAAGGTGTTCGCCACATGTAACCATGTAGGCCTACATTCAGTCTCCCATAACTCATGTAAAAACAAAGTGCTAGGCGCAGTGGTCTCTAATCCCAGTGCTGGGGAGATGAAGACAGGAGGAGTTATAGAGCTTGCTGGCTGATCAGTCTAACCATCTCAGCAAACTCCACGTTCAGTGACAGACTCTTTCTCAAAAAATAAGGTGGAAAGCAATTGAGGAAGTACCTAATGTCAACCTCTGGCCTCCACATGCAGGCATAACCACACACACACACACACACACACACACACACACCCCCCACATACACCACACACGTATATACACACACACACACACACACACACACACACACACCCCACATACACCACACACGTGTATATAAACATACATACACTTTTAAAAAGTATACAAGTTGATGGTTTTTCCTATATACACATGAAGTTGTAGAATCACCACTACTATCATCAGTTCTAGAACATTTTCAACATTTCAAAAAGAAACTCTGTACCCTTTAGCTTTCACCTCGCACTCCTAGCCACAGCCCTGTGGATTTGTCTGCCCTGGATATTTCATAAGAGTGAAATTATATAATACACATCTTTTGTGTATGGCTTCTTTCACTTGGCATGTTTTGAAGTTTCACACATATTGTAGTGGGAACAAGTACATCATTGCTTGTCATGGCCACATAATATTCCATTGCACGGGCATACCACATTTTCTTTATCCATTCATTAGTTGATAAACAATTGGATATGTACCACCAAAAGAAGAAAATGCAACAAAGCCTCAGCATCTACAGTTGGCCCCTTATAGACCCATGCTATAGACCAGGGGAATCAAATGGCTCCTGAGAGTTTCCAAGTGAGATAGAATGATAGCTTCATCTACAGAAAAGGAAGCGTTTGGGGGGTGGAGGAGGCAGGTTACAATCAACTGGGCCTGGTGACTGACAGTGAGGAAAACTCATTTCTAGAAAGAAGGTTTCAGACAGGTCCTGAGCCTGTGGTAAATTTGATGCGTGATTACAAAGCTAAGACACCAGCTCTTCTCTGGGATATCACATGTGGACTTTGGAGAGCTCTAGTTGTTAATGGAGAAACAAACTGATCTTGGTTTGGATCCTGTACACTATGCAGTCCTCTTATCACCAGTCTACCAAACCACACTGGTGTGGAGCCCTATTAAAAGCTGATACAGGAGAGCTGGAGACATGGTTCAGTGGTTAAGAGCATTGGCTGCTCCTGCAGAGGACCCGGGTTTGAGTCCCAGCATCCACATGGTGGTTAACCGTCCATAATTCCAATTCTAGGGGATCTGATGTCCTCTTCTGACCTCCATGGGTATTGCATGGCATGGGTGCACTCACATACATGCAGGCACTACACTCATACACATAAAATAAAAATAATGAATGAAGCATAAAGAAATGAGAAGCTGATGTGGGGACTAAAGAGATGGCTCAGTGGCTAAGAGTCCGTATTTACTGTTCTTGCAAAGGATCAAGTTCAGCTCCCATATTAGGTAGCTAACAACTCCAGCTCCATGGGATCTGGATGCCCTCTTGTGGCTTCTTTGGGCACCTCACTCATACACACACACACACACATATACATAAAATAAAAGGCTGATAGCTTTTTTGACTCCTGGAGTCTATTGGACTAGGAATACCTTATCTGCTTCTCCATCTGTTCTGTGGGCTTTTCTTTCCTGTAGGGGTACCAGACACCTGCAGCCCTGTCTGCCAAGCCATCAATCAGTGCTGAGCCCTTTGTGGGGTTCAGGTGCAAAGGGGCCTCTGCTGAGTGTGCAGAGGCCTGGGGTCCTGTGGAAATATACAGGGTGCTGGGCCAGGACCCAGGGTACCATATAAGTTCCCAAGATGCAGAGCTTCTCACTGTGGTATTCTCTACCACAGCTTCTGCCTCAAGTCACTGCTCCCTCCAACCAGCCTCTCTGCACTTCAACAGAACCCGAACTCCAGCCTGCAGAGCTGAATGTTTCCCACCTCAGCATACCCCTCCTGGCCTCCCCTCCAACTCCCTGTGTGTTCAGTTCTCTCAAGTGCCCTGTTCTTGAACTTACCAGCCGCCTTCTTAACTTAGTTTATCCACAAGCTCGTTCTTCCCCCAGTATTGCCCTCACTCACTCCTTTGTCCACCTAGAAAACGCCTATTGATCCTTCAAGAACCACTCCAACCTGGTGTCCCTTGGAAATCTTTTCCATCTCTACGCCCTTCCTGTTTGCAACCATTGACCTGCAACACCCCTGTTCCATGTCTTTCTCTTCCACTTACCTTTAGCCTATGTCCTGGGAGCCTTAGGAAGAGCCCAGCATGTAGTCTGTGCCCTTTAAAGGCTTGCTGAGTGAGCAAGGGAGCTAGCAGACATTCTTTCACAAGTCCGTGGTCTCAAGGGGCAGCTTGGTCTGGCAGCCCTCCGGCTCCCAGTCACTCGGCTTTCCTTCCTATTGGTTATGGGATTTATGGCACTACTGTTTCCTTTTATTAAGGCTGTAATGGTCTCTGTTAAAATGTGTTACATGGAAATAGGCTAATTAGGTGTGTCAAATAAGTCACCATTCCCCTAGAGTGGCCAGCCCTGCCCAGACGTGGTGCCTCATTGCACAGGGAAGGAGGGTGAGAGAAGTGGGGAGGGAGGTACAAGGACATTTCAGTTTCATAGTGTCCCCCAGGCCTCTGTGCATGCCCTGAGTCTCACCTCATTGCTTTTGAGCCTCTCCTGGGCTGGGCAGGAAATGCCACTCCCTGCTGCTCTGTCCACCTGTCCCAGGGTGGGTTGACAGGCACTCAACCTAGAGATCTTGTTTCTGTTCCTCTAACTGTTCCCAGGACCTTGGGAACACAGGGGAATGCCCATATCTCCATCCGAGGCAAGACTCCAGGGTCTCATGTAACCCAGGCTGCCTTTGAACTGGTTAGGTTGTCCAGGATGATCTTGAACTTCTGATCCTCCACTTCTGTCTCCCCAGTGCTGAGATTACAGGTATATACCACTGCACCTAGTTTATGTGGTACTAGAGATTAAAACACACATTTATTCATGTATTCTCTTACAATTCTGGGAAGCAGAAGTCTAAAACTAGCCTCTTTGGACTCAAGGCAAAGACATGGCAGGGCTGGAGCCTCCTGGAGCCTCTGGGTAAAGCCAGTAATCACCTACCCTTGACCTGTGGCCCTTTCCTTGTCTTCAAAGCACATCTCTCTAATCTTTGTCTGCTTTTCACTTTGGCACTCCTATCCATGTGCCCTACATACCTGCAGAGGCCCCCAGGGCCCTGTGAAACAGAGATGCCAGGGCTGGATGATGGTTCAGTCAGTAAAGCACTTATCTTACAAGTATGAGAACCTAAGTTTGATTCCTAGAACGCACATAAAAAAGCTAGGCTAGGTGGCTAATGTCTGTAATTCCAGCCCTGGGGAGGTAGAGACAAGCAGATCCCTGGGACTCACTGGCCGGTCAGCCTAGCCTAATGGGCAATCTCTGGGTCAGTGAGAGAACCTGACTCAAAAACAATGTGAGTGACATTCCTGAGGAATGATACCAGAGATTTTCCTGTAGCATCCACAGTACACACACACACACACACACACACACACACACACACTGGTGACTGACGGTTTGAATGAGAATGTCCCCCATAAGCTCCAAGTATTTGAATACTTGGCCCTAGGTGGTGGCTGTGTTTGGGGAGGTTGAGGAGGTGTGGCCTTGCTGGAGGAAGCGTATCACTAGGGGTGGGCTTTGAGAGTTCGTAGCCCCACTTCCAGTTCACCATCTCTCTGCTTCCTGCTCATGCTTGAAGATATGAACACTCAGCTTTCTAATCCTGCCTCCTCTGCCGCCCCACCCCCACCATGATGGACCATAAGCCAAATAAACTCTTCCTTTTTAAGTTTCCTTCCTCATGGTGTTTCATCATATCAGCCAAAAAGTAACTAATACAGTGACTAATTTGTTACCCATTAAGTAGCCTATTTCCATGTAACACATTTGAAGACCTCTTGTGATTGTACTGAACCATCTGCATAATCCACAGTTTGTGCATCTCCCCATCCCCTGATGCTAAACATCACTAGAGAGTCCCTTTGCTGTATAAAGTTCATAGGTCCCTGGGACTGAGCTGTGGATATAGTTGAGGGCCATGATTCAGCCTACCACTCTGGCTGATACCAAAAAAGGATTACAATATATAGAGTTTCCTAAAATACAATTTTTTCCACATAGCATCTCGGAATATCCCCTTCTTAGCTCTCTGGATAGTACTTTTGGAAGTTGTGTCCTGCCTTATTATTTGACACCTCTATTGCTAGTTGCTGTGAAGTTATTGGGGGAGAGGTTCTCATTGCCTATGGCAGGCAGATTCAGTTCAGCCATGTGCTTTACTTGGAGATCTACCACTTAAAGCAGTAACATCTGCTGGCCAGGTTGAACAGATGATTGATTGACTTCAGTGTGATAACTTAGACTACATAAAAAGTATCTTGACAGGCGGCGCTCCTCAGGAGTCATCCACTTTATTTTCTAAGACAAAGTCTCCTGCTGGGAACTGGAGTTCTAATCAGGCTAGCTAGGCTGGCTAGGAAGCCTCAGGGGGCCTCCTGTTTCCACCTTCCCAGTGCTGAGAAGTGTGTGTGTGTGTGTCACCATGCCTGCTTTTTACATGGGTACAGGGGATCCAAACTCAGGTCCCCATGCTTGTGTGGTAAACACTGTATGGGTTGAACCATCCCCCAGTCTGATAGAACGATAAACTGATTTCTCAACGAATGGTATTAGCTGAACCTGCTAGAGTGGGGGGGAAATAAGTATTAAACACTGCTGACTGGACTGTGGATAGTGAGGGAGCAGGTACAGCTCAGGGAGGCGTGGGCTCCTCCATGCTCACACTGAATTTTCCCCTTCTGCCTGTCCTTGCTTATGGCATGACTGTCCTATGTTTACCCTCTGTAGCCATGTGGCTTTGGGAACGTTCCTTGTTTGCCTGGGTTTTTGACTGTTCCACAGACTTCCATGAGTCGGCATCAGGAGCTTTGAGGTCTGTCTACCAGATTCTAAACCTTTGAGTCTGTGCCTGGTTTCTCCTGTTTTACTCAAACAGCACAGGCTGTGGAGCCCTTGGTACTGAATAACACTTGACTCATATGTCATATGTATGGATACTCCCTTTTTGAGCACTCTTTTCAATTTTACATTTTTAATGATCTCTTCAAACCAAGAAAAAACCTCTTCAAAAACCAAAAGAGAGGGCTGGGAAGATAGCTCCGCCAGTTAAATGCTTGTCATGCAAACAGCTGAATTGGATCCCCAACACCCATATGAAAAGCCAGGCATAGTGGCATAGGCTTGCAATCCTAACTCTGGGCAAGTGGAGACAGATCCCTGGGGTATGATGGCAGCCAGCCTACCGACTCAATAAGCTGCACTGGTGACAATGCCTACAAAAGAAAGAATGCCTTAGGTTGTTCTCTGGCAGAGAGAGAGAGAGAGAGAGAGAGAGAGAGAGAGAGAGAGAGGAGAGAGAAACAATAGAGAATTATACAGACTCCCAAAGAAACATATAGATAAAGAGAGAGAGAGAGAGAGAGAGAGAGAGAGAGAGAGAGGAGAGAGAAACAATAGTGAATTATCCAGATTCCAGAAGAAACATCTAGATCACTACTAGGCCTCTGTAGAGACCTTAGATCCTCAAAGTGGGTGCTGTGGAAAGAAAACCCCACCCATGAGTCCCATGTCACTGAGAGAGCTCCAGTTTGCAAAGCCACCAGCCCTCACAGGCCTCCTCGTGAAAGAAAGAGCTGTGAAGGAGGCCACCCCTCCACACCCCCTACCCCCACCCCAGAAGGGTTAAGTCGGGAAAGGTTAGCCTCCTCTACTCTGCCCTACTCTAGAATCTGGGATAATTCCTGCCATTAATATTTTAAGCAACTAATTTGACATTTTTCCATTTAATTAACTCGCATACATATGAGAAGAGGGTTTTGAGAGCACCATGACATTTAAACAGTCATTTAAGGTCTCCATTTCCTGGTCTGTGCTTCTTTTCTCTCACCACCCCTCCCCCTTTTTGCTTCATTTCTGTTTTGCATTCCTGGATCTCAAACTGGCTTATTAGCTCAGAAAAATGACCAAATTTCCCTAAACAAATGTCCTATAGTCTCAACCCAGGTGACGTGGGTGGGCTGACAGCTCTGGGCTGCGGCTCCTTTCAGCCCTGAGCCTGCTCTTTTTCCATGCCTCTCTGCAAATGGCGTTTCCATCCCAGCAGGTCTACGTCACTAGCTAATGTTTTCCTGTTGCCAGCCCAGCCCATGTGGGAGTGGGGGAAGGGCAGGAACGTAAAACATTTATCAAACGCAACTACTGCCACCGAGGAAGAGCTGGGGGTTCTGAGAGGCAGACAATAGCTCCGTGACAATTTTCTCTTTCAAATGACAAATAATTGCTGTCAGATCATCAAATGATTAAGAAATAAAGGAAAGTAGACAAATGGAGTGTATCCATGGAGGGATGGGGGGGGGCTTGCTCAATGTTCCGTAATTGAAAAATTGCACCCTAATTAGCTCCCACCCCAGAGAATTCATGAGTTCTGTGCGCCATCCCGCAGCCCTCCAAGCCCGCCAAGTCACAGAACTTGAAGCCATTAAAGTTTACTGTTTGTTGCGGGGACTGTCGCCAATCTCCAGATGCGCTCACTCAGACTCTCCTGCATGCCCAGTCCTCGGACAGACAGAACCCTTTGCTTCTTACTTTCATCTACAATAATGGCTCACAGATTGTCTCTACCAGCCACTCTGGCTACTCTCCTCAGATGAATGCTGGCACTGCCATCCCTGTTTATTTGACAGTGGCCAGTCCAGCCAGGCTCACATAGGAAGCTGGCGCTGCATGCTCAGGGGGCACAGTGCTCCCTGGCTACCCCCCAATCTCAGGTGTCAGTGGTGAGAATGGGTCCTGAGCTTCAGATAAAATCTTGTTGCAGGGGTTGGGGAGAAGGCTCAGTCGGTAAATCACTTGCCTCACAAGCATGAGGACCTGAGTTTGGACCCCTAGAAGGCATGTAAAAAGCCAGGAATTGTACCTCAAACTTACAGTCTCAGCAATGGTGAGATGGGAAGTTGGGACAGGTAGGTCGCTGGAAGTTCACTGGCCAACCAGCTTAGCCTACTTGGTGAAGTTCTAGGCTAGTCAGAGACTGTCTCAAACAGAAGATGGAAGATGCCTGGAGAATGATACCTGAGGTTGTTCTCTGACCTACACACTCTCACACACACACACACACACACACACACACGAACACATGCACCTCCATACACATATGCGCCCCCTTTATCAACAT